CAGTGCCCATGGCATTGCCAAGGAAGAGATTCCCCCTAGGTTCTGATAGCCGAGATCTCTGGTGGATCATCCAGGCATTGCTGTGCTTCCGTTTGAATCATGGTCCTGATGGCTACAGCTGTCTAAGTACCTGGTTGGGGATATCATTAAGGATGAAGTGTTCTAGAAAATTTCCTCATTTGTTATAAAATCACAAAAGTTGACTTAGTTTAACATCCAGGCTTTTTTCTCCTGAAAAGTTGATGTCAAGCACTAAAACTTCAAGTGTTTTTTATATGCAAATAAAATTAATAGCTTCATCAATTTGAACCTTTTTTGAGGGTATTCTTTTTAAACTCTTGCCACTGCTTACACACAATATAAGATAACTTCAGCCTTTCACTCGGAATACTTCGTGTTTGTTATAGATCTTCCAGGACGCTTTCATTAGGTTAAAACTTTTTTATTACAAATTACAACCTGCTGGTGTTACCTCAGGACAACTGAGCTACACTGACTTCTTTTCCAATAATCTTTGCGTGGGTATGATCTTTATTTTTTGTTGGAGCCAAAGATGAGAGTTTTCGATGAAGCCTTCTAACAAATGTTCTTGTGTTCAGGGTTTCGCAGCTGAAAACAGAGTTCCTCCCACTCCTGAGTGTGTCGTTTGTCTCTGAGAACAGTGTGGTGGCAGCTGTAAGTGTCTATTATTTTCTCCTTGTAGAGTGTTGTAGTGTTTTGGAGAGGAGAGAAACACCATACGTTACAAAGTTAGTAAAAAGCAAGCTCTTCCAGAGTGTCTGTCTTTGCATTTCTGCAATTAACAGCAGCAGCAAAAAGCAATGGTGGTTATGTTGATTATGTTTCTTGACATGGTTTTATAAAGTAGGCGTAGAGAACTTGTAAATAACACACTTTTAAACTTACTAGTGTAAATATGATCCATGTGATCAGACACCTGGTGCTAGCCAAAATAGCAACCCACAGGCAATGGTTAATTTGGGTGTGTGTTAAAAATACACAAAGCTTTTGCTTCATTAAAAAACAAAGCTTTCCCAGGGGAACAAGTCTTTCCCGAGTGACATCTTACAAAAGCGCTGGAGAAATGTTGAGAGAAATAGATTTCACAGTTTTTCCAGCCTCGTGCCTACTCCAGTTTCTTTAGTCGCTCAGAAATGCTCTGCAGATAGAGCCGCTTCTGACTTCACTTGCTATATTTTGTAAGTCAGTGAAGAGAGAGGGAAAATTCAAGTAAGATGATGAGTTTTTTCCTTTCTTCTGCTGCATTGCTTTGTCAAGGCAGCTGTTCCAGTAAAATCCACCTGACATAAATAATCTTTTAGTATATTGCTCATTATAGGAATAAATTCCTTCCTTAGCGAACTGGACAGAGAGGAGCTGTTACCCAGCAAACTAGGTGTGAATTTATTTTCTTGAGCAACCAGTGAAGGGTTCTCTCCAGCCGGTGCCCCACCGCGTGTCCCGTCTCAGCCCAGCCCTTTGAGGGCAGGAGTCCCTCGCGACCCTGGCTGAGAAACATCAGCTCATGCTTTCATGATGTCTGGTTGCAGGGCCATGACTGCTGCCCGATGCTCTTTAACTGTGATGACCGTGGCTTGCTGACCTTCGTTTCCAAATTAGACATTCCAAAACAGAGCATCCAGCGCAATATTTCTGCTATGGAACGCTTCCGAAACATGGATAAAAGAGCCACTACAGAAGATCGTAACACTACCCTGGAGACACTGCACCAAAACAGTATAACGTGAGTGTCTTGGCCGTCAGTCCGAGTTTTTCTGGGGTGTACCGCAAACCTATGGGAGCTCAAATTTGCCATACCAGATGGGTGTAGCTGGTATCCCGTTTCCATTTTTGTTCTTCACAAACAGCTGGCTGTTTCTGGGACTTGTATGGAAGCTTGTAAAGTTACTCATTAACATGGCATGCGTGCTACTGCTGTTTGCTCATGTTTAATGTGTTCTGTAACTTGAACACGGTTTATCTTATCAAATATGTAGATAAATCACAAGAGGTTGGTAGCACTGTGCAAAATCTAGTCAGCAAAATTCACCTAAAAGAGGAATTCACCTCCCAGCTTCCTATTTCAGATGTTATTTCCATGTGTATTTGTTGATCAAAAGGATTGATTCAGGTTAATAGAGCAAAATATCCTTGCGTTTTAAAACCTGTGTGAGCCTAGAGAATGCAAACATTTCTGAAGCAATTTGTCTTTATCCAAGCAAAATGTTTAGGCTGCAGCCACTAAGCGATAAAAGAGCTTTCAGCATCCTTTTTCTTTGCTTATTTTTCTGAAGCATTGTAACAAAAACCTAGTGTAAGCTCTGCTATACTCACGCCTCCCCTTGAGACAGCAGGAGTTGAATTCAGCCCAAATGTCCCAGCTTTTTGGCTCTCTGGAGAGGGTGTCTGTCTTACAGCTGTCCCTCTCGGTTTTCAGCCAAGTGTCTATTTATGAGATAGACAAACGAGATTGCCGTAAATTCTGCACCACCGGCATTGATGGGGCAATGACCATCTGGGATTTCAAGGTATGCTTTTACTGCCCTGTTTATGTGAACTGGGAGCGGTGGTGGGGGTTTTTTTGATCTCTAGCATCAACTTCTGAGGCTCAGCCCTAACGCAGGTTTTGTTAGCACTAGGAAATCCAGAACTCCATAAGGAAGGCAGAGCCAAGATTCAGCATAAATGCAGATATACTTTGTTTAGCAGATGGTGCTAATCCAGACAGAATTTTTTAATGGAATCACTTAATGTCCCTGTAGGAATCCCGCTAATTTTCTCCTTTTCCAACCACTACCTCAGCCGCAATCAGGCTGGAACGATCGTTGGTACGACAAGGCCTGCTGTCTCTTCTTGCTCCCATCTCTTTGGACTCTGCTCACTGTCTTTCTGCAGAACGTGATCCTGCCCTCTCATAATGAACTTACCAAAGTAGCTAGAAGCTCCCTCGAACAGTTAGGAAATACAGTCAGCACTGTGCTGAAAACCCATAAGGACTGAAGGCAGTGCTTGCTTTGCTGAGGGCTAGCCAACAGAGGTCTCTGCCGGCCTCCCGGGCTGCGCTGCCTGGGAGGGGGAGAAGAGTTTGTCTGTGTTCTGCAGTGCCAGAAAGCTCTGGCGGGGCCGGGAGCCAAACGAGAATTTGAGGCGCTGCAAAGGCTGCTTTAATGCACTGTCAGGAGCAGAGGGTGGAATCAGTGGTCCATGTACGCATGAGTTTGAAGTGAATGATTGTAGTGGTCTCCGGCTCTGGAATATGAGCCTAATCTCAAGTATTCAGAGTTTTTACTTGTTTTTTCTTAACATCAGCCTTTATGATGAATTATTTAACGCGGGATACTGTAGCAGATTGTGATTAAGGTTTTCTCTCTTTCAAGACCTTGGAGTCCTCTATTCAAGGTCTACGAATCATGTAAAGGTGGATTTCCGTGATCTAGCAGGACAAGCTGCTTGACAGAACGCAGCTCCCACATCTGCACAAACCTGAAAAGGGAGGAGGAAGGTGGAATGTTTGGAAACACTGAGAAAATACAGCTTGGCAGATTTTCTTTTGAATCTAAATTTGGTGAATTGTGTTGGTTTCAAAATCAGCTGTGATTGTTCTTTTTTTTTTTTTCGGTTGGTTGTTTCATTCCATTCTTTACCAAAGCTGCTCCTTAAGTAGTTTATTGCAGGAAGTTATGAATCACTAACTTAAAAGGGGAATTTTATGTAAATTGTCTGCTAGAAATAATAATAATAAAAAAAAAGAAAAACTGATTCTTTGTTTTGATGTTCATTAGCAGTGATTAAAAAAGGGATATTAAAGGAATTAACTCTGAGAGAGGGGGCGGGAAAACCCTGCACTGGTATTTTATGGCCTTAAAACAGGAAGAGTTCATCTTTACTGAGAGTTTCGTAAAGTTGACAGATGAAGACCTGGAATTCTGGTGATCTGGATGTGAAGATTCAGCTGGGCTTCTTTAGGGGGAATTATTCCCTTGAGGTGATGATTTTGGAGGATGAATGATTTTGTCCTCCTGACTCTTAGTTCTGTCTCTGCCTGGTGTTTGATCCAGTAATAACAGAAAATTAACCTGAATGTCTGTTTTATTGTCCGTTTAGTGGGTCATTCCAAAGGCAAATGTCCAGAATAATTTGTAGTTACCTTTTAGGATTTGTACAAAGGCTTCTCATAGTGCAGTGCCTAGGATGCGGGGCGGAAGGCTGCGTGTGGAAAGCGAGGCAAAAATCTGCCAAGCCGGATCTCAGGAGGACAAATTGAAAGCAAATCACTTTTGAAGTCCGTGAAGCCACCCAGGGCTGCATGTCGTGCTAGAGCCGAGTGCTCGGCCTATAAAATTCCGTGTTTCTAATGACTGATGGGGAAACGAAGCACGCTTGACAGAAGGAACGGCGTGGTCTGGCTTCTGTGCAGATCCTTGGTCTCCAGGTGACTGTATCTTTTGAAGTTCATTTCTGAGGCTCATAGGTACTGAGGCATTTGCACATAACTTATTTTATTCACATGGTTTAGTTAAGATTAACTGTGTTGCTGCCTTGAGGCAGGCTGTGCTCTGGAGGGGATTAGCTGGCTCACAACACTGCTTTATGAGGTTTAAGACTTTGTAATTTCTGTCGAAAATGCAGAAGTGTCTTAAAAAAACCCCAATGACTAAATTTACCACTTCCTCTGGAACCGGAGTTGCTTCATACACTGCTCGTTCCTCAGCTCCGGGTGATTCAGAAGGGAGGGTGGAAGATGAGCTCACAAAGCTGACGACTGCTGCTGTTCTGCTGCAAGTGAGCTGTGTCCGTCACGGAGCTGCATCCTTTCAGGGACGATGTTGGCTGCGTGTGGAGAATGAAGGGTTTTTCCAGTTCCTTCTGGTTTTCTTATGTCTCCCACCTTCCTCCCCTGGTAGTCAAGGGTGGCTTTGCAACTTCCTCTCCCTTCTAAACATAAAATCGTGACTGTTTAACCTCTACTCCTCTCTTAGTCTAGTGACCTCCTGCGTACGATGGCTCGCGGTGGGGTTGGGTTTGTCAGCTAGGACACGATGCTAACGGAGTGAAGCGTCTGCTGGAGCAAAGCGACCCTGCCAGCCTTGGCCGAGGGACAGAGGAGCGCGGGTTTGGCTTTGTCCGTCTCCGTACGTACTGTTAGATGCTTATCTCTCACAGACAAGAACGGTTTTATTTCTGAATACACTTTTTGAAAGTGTGGTGGTTTGTTTCCAAAAAGTGTTCGAAAAAATGGATTCTAAAATATATGATCTGAATAAAAGGATGGGGAAAAAAATCATGTAATGAGAGTGGAGAAAATGGACCTCTAAATTTTTATGCCTTGTTCTTTTTCTGAGTGAAGGAGCTTGACAGGTGAAATGAGCCCGTTTGCTCCAAAAAGCCGGTGAACCGAGGTTGGAGGAAGCCGCCCGAGGTTGCTGGCTGAGAAACGTGTGTGCTGGAAGCCCGAGGTTCAAACCAGATTGGAGATATAAATATTAGAAAAGCACTGAGCAAAGGGAATCCAAACAACTATCGCTCAAGGCTTGATTCAACTGAACACTGCCCGGTGCGGGGGGAGCTCTGCGCCCCGTGCACCCCCCGACGTTGGGAGTGGGGGGTCTGGGTTTCCAGGCCATCCCTCCGCTCGGGGAGGTCGTGCTGCTGCCGTCCCACCCCCGGTCTCTGAGCTGTGGGGAAGATACTTGTGCTGGTTTATCCTCTCCTGCATCTGGAACACTGTCCTTTGTGTCCGGCGTGGGTGAGAATTGGCTGCCGTACTGAGCTGACCGCAGCACCCGGCTGCTCAGCAGGTGCTTGCACGTGGTGGGGTTAACGGCGCCTTTGAAAGCCATGTTCACAACAGAGCTCGTGGTTGCAGTCTTAATTACGGGGTAGCTGCTGGCTGTGGGTGCTCTGCAGTACACGCCAGCTGGCAGACGGCTGGGGGCAAGAGATGGGGCTCTGCGCAGGCTGGGGTGCCAGGGACTGCTCGCTGGAGCTCCGCGACGTCTGTGCGGTGGGGTGGCTCCTCGACGCCTTTCTGCAGAGGATGGAGGAGGATCTTTGCACTTAAGAAAACGGAGGTGAAAGCAGGTGAAGGATGTGGCCAAACCTCGAGTCGGATCTGGAGAGGGACCCAGCAGGGCTGAGCCTTCATCCCTGGCCTCCACAGCGCTGGCTTATTCCCCCGTGGGCTGGCGAGCCCAGGAGAAACCCAAGCAGTGTTGGAAACCAGTGCATCCCTGTCGGAGGCCGCTCGCTGTGCTCGTTAGCGCGGGCTCGGAGCGGAGCCGCAGCGGGAGCCACCTCGAGACCAGAAGCGATGAGGAAACGCGATGGCAGGCCAGGCACGGCTCCGCAGGCAGCGCCAGGGGTGACGCTTGCCCCTCCCGTCGCTTGATAACGTACCCTGGTTCCTGCTGCAGAAGGCACACGGACCTACTGCTCGATCCCATCCCCGCCTGGAAGGGATCTGAGGGGATGGGCAGAGGGGTGGTCTCCTGCCCGGCGTCCTGCTGTCCTGCACGGATGAGAGCTTCGGGTCCTGGGGCAGCACGCCTGGAAAGCCTGGACCCTCCTGGTGAAGAGCAGAGGCAGAGCATCTTGTCACGAAAGGAGGACTAGAGAAAACGTGGAGGCAGCAGGAGAAGCTTCAAGGAGTCTCAACCTTGATGGTTCTGTGATTCTCCCAGCCGTGTGGGAGCTGCTCTGCCGGCTGTGTCTCTTTTGCTGCGTTTGGGGTGGCCATGATGCTGGGGATGAGGCTGGGGGCTGCAATGGGCAAACTGCTGCCAGAGAACGGGACAGCTCGCTGCTTCCAAGGGAAGCCTTTCCCACTGTGGGGATTCACTCCTGGCCAGAGCCGCCGAGACCCACCACCCTGTGGGGACATCTCAGGGTCTCCATGAGTGTCTGCGTGGGATCATGGCAGTCCAAACGTGGCTAATGGGCTCGAGGACCGAGGGAGCAATGAGCTGCCGGCTCCGTGCCGCCCCGCAGAGCCTTTATCTGCAGCTGACCCCTCGCTTGGTGAGCTGCAGAATTAACCCCCAAAGATGAGGTCAGTGCATCTGCATCCCGTAGCTCCCTGTACCAGCCCCCGGTGCGCTGCTGTCCCGCCGTGTGCTGCTGGGAAGGGAAGGGGTGAGCGCATCCCTCCACGCGTGACTGCAGCAGGGGAGCGAGGAGCTGAAGCCCATCTCTCCTTTCCAGCAGGAGCTGAGCTCCTGGGAGCTGTACCAGCCCCCGGTGCGCTGCTGTCCCGCCGTGTGCTGCTGGGAAGGGAAGGGGTGAGCGCATCCCTCCACGCGTGACTGCAGCAGGGGAGCGAGGAGCTGAAGCCCATCTCTCCTTTCCAGCAGGAGCTGAGCTCCTGGGAGTTACCCTGCCCAGCCAGGAATGGGATAAAAACCAGTTGCTCTGAAGCAGGAGGGAAATCCGGGCGCCGCAGCGTCCTGCGGAGCTGCGAATGTCCCCGGCTGTGGGAAGCGATGCCCACGCGCGTCTTACCCCGGGCGGGCTCCGATGGCAGCTACTGCCTGCTGTGGGCCAGCACCGGCAGATGGGGCATCCCTGCTGCACCCATC